GCCGGCTTCCCATCGTCAATCATTTGTAAAGGCCTCTCCAGAGCGCTCGGCGACATGGCAACACCGAAAAGCGGAGGAACCTCCCACACCTCTTCCTCCTCGGGAGCAGGATTCCCGACCTCTGGTCCGGGATCCTCCACCACAGGCTCCATCTCCACATCGATAGACTCCCTACACATCAGGTCCAGCATGTCCGGAGGCACCACGATGGGGTCTGAAGCCGAGTCGCCCACCAGACGACCCCCGTTAGCCAGCCTCTTCTGCCTCAACCGCTCCAGTCGAGCATGCTCCTTGTTGCGAATGGACCAGCGGCGATCACCATCCCTATAACTCATAGCGCCGTGCTTTCGCAAAATGAAGAGTGTTGCGATTTGCATCAACTGGGAAGGGTCTTTATATAGCCCAGGGAAGGCGAATATCTAGGCGATAATTACGGAGGAGACTGGCATAACTGAGCCGGATTGGACGGATGACGAGAATCTTTGTCAGAGATTAGTTCCATCAGATCCGCCCGGGAAGAGCAAGATTCGCACGCCAACATAGAAAAGATTGGATTTACCCGAGCTATGGGGAATCTTGCAGATGTCAGACTGAAAAGAGCCTGACGATGTGACCGACTCCTTGACCAGTCGTCTGAATGGGCACGCAACAAAACACGACAAAACACAAGGCAAAACGAAAATAGCGCTTTTATTATTATTATTATGGAAAAGGAGGGTACAAGCAGCAAGGAGCTTATTACAAATTATGGATATGAAAATGCTCCTAAAAAGATTCCTCCGAGCTATGACCGACCCCGGTACATAAAGGTCACTCGCCAGGCGAGGAAGAGTCGCCCCCAAAGAATCCCCCCGATGGTCCAGGGGGAGAGGGGCAGAACGAGTCCCAGAAAGCTGGCATGAGCGGCGGCGGAATAGGTCCCTCATCATCCGGATACGCCTCCTGGTAGCGGGTGTAATCCTCGTCATCCATAAGGCCCGTGACCGGCCCGTCCAGGTCATCCAGCGGGATGGAGAAAGTCATTTTGAAAGTCAATTGTTCAGGGACGGCCACCTCCACAAAGGATCCATCTTGAGAAGTCACCCTGGCGGTTGCTGGAGTTGGCGGACGAAGCAAAGGCGGCACGACTTCTCGCTGAGGTGGGGTCGGCGGCTGCGAAGCTGAGGAGGTGGCACCAGCAGGAGATCTCCGGGGAGCCGGACGAGAAGCTTTTTTCTTGCTTTCCCTCTCAGGTCGAGTCCGCTTAGAAGGCAGCGGACGCCGAGGAGACCCGAAGTCAATTCGCTTCCCTTTCAAGGGAGAGCGACCCATAATGAACTCGTGAAGAAAAGAGAGAAGGAAGGAGGCCATTTATAGGTGCCAAGCCTAGATGAAAGAATCTCAACGGCTCCGCGAGATCCGGAGAGGATGGCTGATGATCCAGACGTTACAAGGGGCTATTCAGGGCACAGATACGGTAATTAAAGGAGACGAGCGGTTGCTACTTTTCCAAACCCAGGTCGAAGGACTGGGTATGGAAAAGTGAGGGACTAGTTGATGGGGTAAGGACCCCGGCCCAAGAGATAGGGGCCCAAAGAAAATAAAAGTGGGCCAGCATCGAGAGAAGCCCAAAGAGCAGTCAGGTCGAGTCCAGGAGTCGGCCGAGGCCCAAGCCCAGGAAAGGACCCGGCTCGAGGAGCCGTTGAGGGCATTAAAGGCGTTCCTTTAAAAGAGAGCCGTTGAAGCATTGAAGACAGGACCCGGTCGGGCTGTTACCAACCTAAGAGAGCCGTTGGTCGACCGAGCAACAGCGTCCAACGGCTCCATATCTTGATTAGCCTTGAAGTCGGCCATTAAGGGCCATCAAGTCGGCAGAGGAGGAGCCACTATATAAAGGCTCCTCCATTCTTGTAAAAGGGAGACACTTCGGACACTTCGGACACCCGGAAGAGGAGAGAATAACAAAGGATTTCCGAGCACTCTCATTATCTCTGAGTTAGACATAAATATTATTGAGAGGTGTATCCTCCGACCAAAAGGTTGTGTTGGACCTCCTTGGGCCCAAAAACCCTAAAACCATCAGAAGGCTTTGTCCATTCTCCAATATTGGAGAATTGTTTCAGTTTGAGAATGAATATACAGCATGTGAGCTTTCAAATTTTCTCAAACTTCAGTGCAAAAGTGTGCTAGAAAATTATAATATATCAAAAAATATTAATATTATAATGACTTAAATCATTCCAATAACGCAAAAGCATAATTGAACTATTAAGTTTTGTTCTAAATAATCAAAAGAAGATTAATTAAACGTTAAAGAAAAAAAACTTAACCTAAATTTGTTTTTAAAAAAAAAAAAAATCAAATGATTTTTAAAGTTCCTGATGATTTATAATCTTTGATGCTCAACTTTGAATGCTATGTATTTAGTCGGGTTAATTATTTGACCAAAGTTAATGTTAAATTTTATATTAGATATATTTTTAATACATTTTAACATATTCATAATATATGTTTAACAATTATGTCAACTCTAATTGAGATGAGGTTCGAGCCTAAGACATTTCTTATATAAATTAATGAGTCTGTTAAGAACAATAAATTAAATAGTTAACGGAATATTCCGTTACTAAAGTTTATACTAACGGAATTTAGGGTTATTTAAGGGAATAAAATAATATAATAGAGGATAAATAAGAAAAATCATTAAAAAAATATTAAAATCAAAATAATATGTACCATTCATTTTAAGAAATACTATCGACATTTTTTTTGTTCCTTAATGGCCTAACATTATTGGCTCTTATTAGATTTGTAGTTGTAGATAAAAACCAAAAACTTAATTACGTGCATTAGGCCAACTATAAATTGCGGGTTAATATCTAATAATACTTCATAATAAATTTATACACAAAGTTTAAAATTTAAAGTGAGCCGCGTTCATAAAAAATAGAACAAATGATTTTCTTGCCAACATATATATCTTTTCATTATGTTCGAGGGTTGTGATTCTTTGTTTCCCTTCCTTCCCTCTGATCTTGAGCAAATTTTATTGAAGGATAGACTAGGTATTTCAAGGCACATGAAGTCTTGGTTCAAAATAATTAGTGTTTGCTTAATTAAGGTTTTCCTGTCCTATTGATTTTAAAAATAAAATTCACATGTATATATGTGTGTGTGTAACACTTTTTGCCCATCATATATCATTCGAGATATATATGATCTTTTCTCTTTTTACACATATATATACTCCATATTACTTGTTAACTCGTAAAAAAAATACATTTTTATTTAAAAAGTATTACACATTTTATGTGATATAGTATCATATATGATCAATCGTAAATTTAAATACTACGAAGTATAATATTATGTTATAAATGAAAAAAAAAACATTAAACATGTTTTTAGAAAAAGGGTAATGACAATATACAGTAGATTCTATGTATGGAATCCTTTCCTATGATGATGCCTAAACGCCAGATCTGTTGTGAGGGACATTTACTCCGTCGAAAAAAATATTTATTTTTAAAAAGAAAATAATAGATGTGTTTACTTGTATTTTTATAAAAATTTGAAAATAAAAAATGAAAAAAAAAAAAGAATGAAAAAGTTAGAAAAAGAAAAACTATAGATTTTAAGTAAAGAAAATATAAGTATGAGGTCCGATTTAATTTGAAGCATTACACTTTACTCGTTGAAGTAGCAGCAATAATACTTGAGATAGATTGAAGGTTGTTACATTTGGTGTAGAAAACTTTGGACTTACTACGTGAGCGGCAATTTATATCATGCACTAAGATTCATATAGCATTATGGACCCTGAATCAAAACGACGAGATGCAAAATTCATATTCGTAAAGTACAAAATTTCATAACACAAAACATATACACATGGTATATATTTACTTATTTTTCAAATCTGATTTTGATATATAATTTGTGTTCATAGGTACAAAATCCATAACATAAGACACAATTACTAATCTATTTAAAGTACATAATTCATACTTTTATAAGGTACAAAATTTTATAACACAAGACACAAACTAACAACATAAGACACATACACATGCACTAGGGTCCACAGTGCACTGTGAACTCTGACCCTCGGTATAAGGATTGATGTTATGATATATCATTGTTTTTTTAAATAAATTACTGTCAGATCTTTTATCTAAAATGAGTCTAAATAAAATCAATCTGTGTATGTAAAAATCTTTTGAGTAAATAGCATAAATTTAGAAATTTAAGTAGGAAATCACATATTTGATAATTGATACTCAATTTCCTAGATGTTTAAAAAAAACGTATAGAATAGAATATTCTAGTAACAACAGTGTTTCTATGTAAATGATTTGTGTACAAATCGCGTAACATTAATGTTAACTCTATTGGTAATTGGATAATTAGACTACAAATTTCACCAAGAATTTTACCAAATATTGATGGTCGTGTACGTTACTTTGATCTTTCAGTATTTGATTATTGTGCGAATTTTTATGAGTAATTTATTTATTTTTAGTTTAGTAATTTTAGGTAACTAGTTGGAGGGGTAAAGTTTAACATTATACCATCAACGTAGAATTAATTGTCATGTAAATATAAATGTATAATGAAGCAAAATTACTTTTTTCGCTACTAATTAATTACTCCGTATAATTTTTGGCACGTAAGCGCTTGATCTTGCTGATAAGTTAGTGCCATGTCATACAATGTATATTAGGTAAGTGGAAGTTAACATTTTAATAATTTATAAATTGTTGGACAATCCAGTCAAGTTGGCCATGATTAATTTGGTAACTATGATGTTACAAATTTGACTTTAACAGGAAGCGACATATTTATCTGTTTTATTTGACTTATGGACAATTTATTATGTATTTACCTAGTACACATCCATCCAAGAATAATAATTACGGTTACTTCGTCATCACCCAAAAAATAAGTTGTAAATTTATGTAACAAAATTCAATGATTATTATATTGGAATTGGCAGTCCATACATTTAATTAACCCAAGTCAAAATTTTGTTTCTCTCTCATCCCATTCTCTCTCAAGCCTTCTCAATATATAAACCCATGGAACGCAGAAAAATGAGGTGCACTTTGATTGGGATCTTCTTCCCACTTCTCACTAAAACCTCGTCGTTCTTAATTCCACCACTCTTTTCCCCAGTAATATATATACATATATATAGTGAAAGATCTTAATTGAAAAAGTGAAAGGTGTTTGATTCTGCGGCATTTGATGGCTGAGCCACCATTCTGTCATGAAACTGAGTTGTCTACTAGCAACTCGTCGTGGTCGCGGAGCAAACGGCCGAGAGAAGACGCCGGCGGCGGCGGCAAGAGTGGTCGGAGGAGTGATCTGAAGCATCCGTCGTATGTGGGTGTGAGAATGCGGGCCTGGGGGAAATGGGTGTCGGAGATCAGGGAGCCCAAGAAGAAATCTCGGATCTGGCTTGGGACATTCGCCACGCCGGAGATGGCGGCTCGGGCCCACGACGTTGCCGCCATGTCTATCAAGGGCGACACCGCCCTCCTCAACTTCCCCGCGCTCGCCGGGCTGCTGCCCCGGCCGGCTTCGTCCACTCCCCGCGACGTCCGGGCCGCCGCCGTCAAAGCCGCCCACATGGACCACCTCGACCCGCCGAAGCCGCCGTCGTCGTCGTCCTCGTTGGCGTCGTCCCCGTCTTCGTCGTCGCTGGTGTCCACCGTCACGTCCGGCGAAGACGCGTCCACTCCGCCGCAGGAAGAGGAGGACGACGACGCGCCGCCCAGCCCCGCCGAGCTGGGCGAGATAGTCGAGCTGCCGGAGCTGCGAGACAACACCGAGCCAACTCGGGACGAGTTCATCTTCGTCGACTCGTACGGTTGGGACTTCTGTCACCCTTGGTCACACCTCGACGACTGCGGTTACTACGCAACCGCCGTCGCCGGAGACGGCTTCGACGCCGTACTTTCCGGCGACTTCGACAGCTGCTTGTGGCAGCATTGAGAATGAACCAACGTAACAAATCAAATGGTGTGCTTGCCATTTTTTCCTTTTTTCTTTTAAACTTTATTTCTTTTAGGACCTAATAAATTTGGAATGTTGAATGAACTTAACTCCTTTTTTACCCTTTTACTTTTTAGAGTTATTATTATGTTAGATAAATATCAATACTCTCAACTACTATACATACCTTCCTTGCCTCCCAAGTTGCCTTAGCTACATTTTTGTGTGCTTACCTTTTCTTTACTATTCTAAGACTCACCACTAATGAGACTAAGATAACAATCTCGAGATCCTCAATCAAGCTTCATTTTAAGAAAATTCTGATCTCCTAAAGACATTGTATAATTGTATTGAATTCGTGATTTTCATGAGCAGCAATATTTGAGAACTGCGATATAGTATGAAAGGTTTGAAATATTTGTGAATCAGACAATATAACCTAAAGTTGAATTAGTTGAAATTAACGTGATAAATGAATAACAAAGTCTCTCCCAAAAAGAAGTATAGAAGAAAACAAGTAGAAAAACTAGAGGATGCCATACAAAGGGAATATGTAGGATTCTGCAAAAATTGACCATTCAACCAATCAAAACCCACGAGTCCATCCTCTCAATTATTAATTAATTCCTCCCAAAATATTTTAATAATATTTTGACAATGATGGTTAGTATATCAGTCAATTTTAACTTATTTAATCACTATTAACTATTTCACTTAGTTAAACAATAGTGTTCACTGTTGGAAATCTCGCTGTTTCCGTCCAACATTTCCGTTTAAATAACTTTTTGTAACAGTTTATTGCTCCAAAACGTTAAAATTAAAAAAGCTACTTAAAACAACTTTTTAAATAAACTTTTTGAAAAAAAATCATTTTACATGTAATCATCTATCAGCTAACAACTAATTTACCGAACATCTTTTTACAATCCGCTAACAGTAATCAACTGTCACTAATCAAACTCACTAACCCAATTAGCAAATATTCCAATTAGCAAATATTTATTTACCAAACACCCTCATAATATATATATATATATATATATATATATATATATATATATATATATATATATATATATATATATATATATATATATATATATATATATATATATATATATATATATATATATATATATATATATATATATACACTTTCCTTCCCTCAAACTCCAACTCCCAACCCACCTCTCAAGCTTTTCTCAATCACCAAATTTATAAATTAATATGATATAATTAACGTGTCTCGGTAACACTAATTTAAAAAGACCAAAAGAAAAAAAACCAATTTTCCTGCTATTAATTAATTAATTGACCATTTTTATCATATTATTATTCTGTAAGCTCTGACACTGAGCCCTTAACTATAAACGGGAACGAGTCAATGTCAAATTTAATACAATATCATAAAATAGCTGATACCTCGAACTGACTCTTAACCTAAATTTTTAAGAACAATTTTCTTTTTTGAGAAAATAATATTTAAAAAAAAAAATTATTAAGAGGAAATAATAGTTGCAATAGTTCTTGAGACGGAGACAGATGCAGAAGTGCAAAAGTGACATATGCTTCAACGTTTCATGGTTACCTCAACGACACGTGGGTCGGTTTGACTGTAGATTGTAACATCTTCGTTCTCTGCTAATCATTAATTCCCTCGTCATTCTTATGTAAAATTTACAGAATTTAAATTTCAACAAAAAAAAAAAAGTAAACGACGAAAGAGAGAACAATTTAAGGGAAACAGCGAATTGAAACGACGGCATTCGCTATTCCGTGCGACATCACATCAGAAATTAAAGCAGCATGTACATTGTACACACATAATACTATACAGTATGTTTTCTGTATAACACTGTTTTACCAAATTTATGGGCTATTAATTGTTTCGAGAATCAAACACTTGTTATTGTGCTAAAAGTTATAATTATTATTAGTGAAAATGCAATTTTATTTTCTAATATACCTTCACATTTTCGAAAGACAAGGCGCTGGACTTGCCCGACCGATCTTTAGACTTCACTCAAACAGTTTCCTAGTCGATCACTCGGTGCTGGATTTGATCTTTCACGGGTCTCTGTTCAACATTTTCTAATTGTTTATAGAGTATAATATAATCTTGAAGATGAGATTACGTATGCCACAATGTTCATTCATTCAATTCCTTTTGGCATAGCACAATAACAGCTTTGATCCAGCTAGCTATACTAGCTAGCCAATTACTTCATCACTCTTCACTGTGTCCACTGTCCACACTGCTAGCTTTCCGAATTAAATTCCACGTTTTATGTTAAAATATTTATTAATCGAGCCGGGTCTATAATAATTGGGATAGATGATTGAGATGAGGGTTGGACAAAATATTCCTGCAGTGAAAAGACAAATAATATCGTGCACTATAAAGGTGGTGTTTAGACTGATCATTTGTGACATTACATAGAACTCGATTCAAAAATTTGTTAGTGTTTAGTCAAAATATGTTCTGAGCTATTAATAGATTGAGCCGTTAAAATTTTTGTTTTATCAAGTCAACTTGTTAAGAACCAGTTTAACCCATTAATATTCGCACATTTAAAGCTGCAACAATGCAAACGCGTAATATTAACTTTTTTTTTACCTCTTAAAGTGAGGGGCTCCTTGTGTGCAGTAAGAAAAGGTCTAGCCTCTGTGGTTCATGTTCATTTGAGTTACCATGATTTACATCATTCCAGATGTTTTGTCGGGCCGGGGTGTGAGGGGCCACTAGGGTTGGGGTTCAACCTTTTGGAAGAATATTAACCTTTTTCTTTTAATTTTTTTGTTGTCAAATCTATTTTTTTCCTTTCTCTTTTTCTCCCTTTTTTCTTGCCCTCTGTCTCTCCTAGTTGGCACCTAAAAAATTTAAAAAAATTATAGCTATTGAGACTACTCCAAGAGCAACCCCATTAGGGGTTTTTTTGCTCAGTTTTTTAGGAAGAAAAAACTAGGGGTTGTATTTTATCTAATGGGAAAAAAGTTTTTAAGGTAGATTTTTTTTCCTGCAAATGTAATTTTTGGGTGGAGTCCACTTTTGGGAGGAAAGTTGCGCAATGCGCAGCAATCTGTGCGCCCAGAAGGCGCTCACACTGTACACGCCTTCTAGGCACGTAAATGCTTTTAGTTTTTTTTTTTTTTTTTTGTCAGAATTTATTTTTCCTTTTTTTTTTCTTCTCACTTCCTTTTCTCTCTTACCTGGCATGTAAAAAAGCCCACAAATTAAAACACTATAACAAATGAGGTTGTTCTAAGGTAAATTCTAGTCCACCATATAATAAGCTTGGTAGGGAGAAAGCTAAGGGTCATCAAGTCATTAGCTTATGAATTGATGTTGTTATGATTCAAGTATGTTTTGATTTTGATTAGTGAGTATGGTTAATAATATAAGGGAATTGAAGAACTTCAATTATTAAAGTATGTATTTTTTAAAAAATTTAATTCTGCGTTCTTTAGAAGATTTTGATGAACTAAAATATGACAACTAACATAATATACAGTAGGTCGACCATGAAATAAACAGTTAAGAGGTTTAATCCTTTAACGACTGCATTACGAACGCGTACTAAAAAATATATCCTTTGCTAACGAATGTATTATTGACTAATCATTCATAGGAAAATCCTTAATTATTGTCCTTTATAAGCACGCGTGGATTAATTTATTCTCAAATTCCAAAATAAAATAAAAAATTGAGAATATTTATTGTTGAAACTATTAATAAAAAGCAACCTCATACGGTATCTATGTATCCTCACCACTCTAAAATTAATTTAAAATTTTTAAATTGTTTTCGCAAAAGTAAAATTTTACTGTGTAATTATTGCAATTGCATTAATAGTCAGCTTACTTACTGTCTTAAACTGTTGAGTTAATTATACATAATTTGGATAGAGTACGGAGTACTTGACAAGCAAAGATACATTTAAAGAGATGAGGTCTATAATGTTATAATTTAACAATCCTATAAGTTAAAATCAAGGTGTAGTGCATGGGAAGGGGTAAGTAAATGAGTGGTGCGTAATTCTTATACCTGAATGATCACAGTTTAATTCTTGATTCTCGAATTATGGTTATAAATTTTATAAATAAAAGTACGAGTTTAATTCTTGATAACACTTATGGGTATATCTTGTGAGGGTAGTATGTTAGGCTTTGCTTAATCCCACATATATAGGGCATTTTGTTTGACCAAAAAAAGAACTAAAAATTAATGATGGGTCATAAGTTGTTGGGGAACGATTGGGAATGTCGAGTCCAACATCGTGTCATTGAAATGTAACATTGACTACTACACAAGTATAAGAAAATAAAATTATATTTTTCTTATTAGCTATGACTTTTGACATAGTGCAAGCGTTTGATAACCTGGTTAAAAAGATCAAAATTAAAGATATTTATATTTTATTTTGTTCTTTGTATTTGCCCATACATCAAGATCATGGTCGTTGAAGAAAGGTCATCATGTTTATGATTCGTGTTTGGTAGTTGAAACAATGCTGGAGAATACTTAAATGAATGAAACAAAAATAAAATAAAATAAAAACATTTAATGTGAATGACATGCCATGTATATATAAGTTTTGAATTCGATGCTTTGAGAATGTATCTTTACCTAACAATGCAATTTTCATATTTTATTATGCTGCAGGCTGCTTGATATTTTTCAGGATTTGGAATGACAAATTAAATTAAAAAAAGCTTAATAATCTAGATAAATTCTAGAACATTGGTATTAATCATTAAATTATTAAAGAAAAAAAGTCAAATATTTCACTTGAATCTGTTTTAGTTTCTATACTCACACTTGATTTATGTAAAAACTATTAAGTTGACAGCATATATAAAAAATTTAATTATTTTTCAAGATAATTTAGCATGACTCATATCATTTGAAATATCTTAGGATTCTCAGCTACAATGTTATCACATAAAACGTAAAACAAAAAAAGAAAAACAATTTTAAAAGAATTTTAAAACAATTTTAAAAAAAGAAAAACAATTTAAAAAAGAAAAAAGAAAAACATATATATATATATATAGAGAGAGAGAGAGAGAGGATGAAGAAGATATCAAGCTGTTAACACATGGCAATATGACATTAGAACGTGGGCCTG